CTCTCTATATAGCATGGATAGGTACCGTGTGCCTGCTGCTATGCCAGACTCCAAATCCTATGGGTTTAAATCCTGCCTGACCTATGATGGCCTTCTCACCCAGTCAGTGGGCTTAGTCACTGTTTGGAGGAGAGTTGCATTCCCATTGTGTATGGTATGTAAATGCTTCTCAAGGAGTGGAAGTCAAGGGATGCATAGCTGAAATTGCATCTGCTTGAATAATCAGTGCAGGCTACCTTGGATCTGGAGGACACTACTGCCTCCAAAGAGCAAGAAGGGTCATCTTCAGCAAGTGCTGCTTGAGCAGACGGCAAACTCCAATGTCAAGCAGTGGCAGGAAAGAAAACACCATCCAAATCTGCATTAGCTACATTGACACTGACCACCTCAGCCCAGGGACTTCTGTCACTACACTGCTGCCTACTGATACTGCACCAATCTCAACATCAGCACTCCCAGAATTGACAACTTCAGCACTGGAGCCAGAACTGGTGCCCCAACGTAAGGGTGAGACCAAAAGGCACAACCAAATGGAGCTGAGACGAGGCTCCCAGTGCTGGGACAAACAATCCTGAAGGAGGAGGAGGAACAGCACTCTCCAAAGAGAGTGCCTAAAGTCTTCTACTGAAGTAGAAATGATGTTCTGCAAACCAGCACCAGCAAAGACACCAGCACTGACCACTGTGCCAATTACAGGCTCCGTCTATGCCCTTATGGATTCACCTAGATTCTTTCCAGAGACTTCTTCAGCATATTGCCCGGCATATTGCCACATGTCACCACCATTCAAAAAGTACTATTCTTTTGTCATGCCTTCTCCCGGATGTTGAGCAGGGATGCCTTTCCTCTACCTTGTAAAAGAGCAACCTGAGAGCTGGTACTGAGCATTCCTCTCTCACAAGATGCTGACGCAGGGGAAGTCTGAATAGCAATGGGCTGACCAGTGCATCTGGGCCAGTACCATTTAATGTGCCAAGCTGGCCATACTGGTCTTACAGGGGACCATTATCTCAAGTGTCCCAAAGCAGATCTTCCTGCCAATCCAGGAAGAGATCAGGCTCCCTGTTGACATCACTACCTAGGCCACTGACCACTCAGGAGCTAGGAGTAGCAGAAGAACATCCCCAGTTTCCAACAAAAGAATAGTTATCACCTGATGAGGCAGCTGCACCAACCCCTGGCTTGGCAGGTGACTATTTTAAGCCCTTTCAGGCTCTCCTGGTTTGCATTGTGAAGACCCAGGACGTAGAGATGGTTATGTAGGAGAGCTCTCAAATGTATGGTATTCTGACCCCCTCAGCCCCAACCAGGATTGCTCTCCCTATTAATGAGGCCATACTAGAGCTGGCCAGGAGTCTGTGGCCAGCACTAGTCCTTGTCCAACTGGGTGGAAGAACACTATCAAGTGTCCCTGAAGAATTTTGAGAACTTTATTCCCCCCTGAGCCCAGCTTCTTTAGTAGCTGTAGCCATGCAGGAGAAGTTGAAATCAACAAGAGGCACACCCGGGGACCCCAGAAGTTAGAACTTTTCAGGCACAAAACCTACTCTCTCTGGTTTCGCTGCAACTCTGGGTGGCTATCAGGCAATGCTTGCCAAGTATAATTTCCTAACATAGAGCAGGGTGACTCCTGTTCTGTGCTACATAACATGATGAAAGAGATAAGGAAGATTATTAAAGAAGGCCAGATGGTTACCAGAAGAGTCCGCAGGCAGTCATGGGTGCTTCTGACATGGCTGCAACCATGAAACGAGCATCAGGCTATTAGCCACTGGACTACTGAGAGGTCCAAGATATCATCCAGCACCTCCCACTCAAGGGGATGGAGATCCAATACAAGGGCTGATAAAGTGCTCCACTCTTTAAGATTTGAGGGCTACCTTGAGGTCACTAGAGATTTATACACTAATCCCTTATGGGAAGCCCTACAAATATCAGACCCAGCAGAGGCAGCTGGCTTACCCTTACTCCCAGGCAGACGGACAGATTAGCCATAGTGGAAAAGGCCACAGTACCAGAGGAGACCTCTTCTGCCTCCTCTGTCCCATATGCCACCCAGTTAGCCGATTTGATGGAAGTGTCAGGAGCCACATCAGAGCTAATCAGGAGCCATCTTGCCTTGATCCACAGGTCCAGTTGGTCCAATATCACCTTGGGCGAATGCGTGCTGATATAGTTACCCCTGGCTATCCCATCTACTTCGACAGCCTACCTTTCTCAACCCCCTTCCCATTCCCTTTTCAGGGGCCCTTTTCATGAGAGCCTGTTACAAAAAGTGGCCTTGTTGCTTCATCTAGGAGCTGTAGAAGAGTTTCCAGAATAATACGGGGGAAAAGACTTCTGTTTGCAGTACTGCTTTATCCCAAAGAAAGGTGATTTTTGTCCTATCCTAGACCTGAGACAAATATATAGGCTGCCTCAGATCCAGGATGGTGACTCTTGCCTCTATCGTTCTATCTCTTCAAATTCAAGACTGCTTAAGGGCTCTCAACTTATAAGGTGCAACTTTCTGCATAGCCATCTATCTGGTCCACAGGCAGTGCCTGAAATTCACAGTGCAATCGGGTCATTGCTAGTACAAGATACTGCCATTCGGCCTTTCTACAGCATCGCATGTCTTCACGAAATGCCTGATGATGGTAGTGGTCCATCTTAGAAGACAAGACATTCACATCTATCACTTAGATGACTCTGTGATCAGAGACAGGTGACAGTGGGAGACAACAGTGAGTCTGGAATGTGCTATCACTTTGGCCAGAAGATCTTTAAGCACTTGTGACTGAACCTCCCCTATACAAGACAAAGGTGGTCCTAAGGCCTCATCCAAAACTGATTTCCCAGGTCTCAGATTTTCATCTGAACCAATTTACTATTTTACCAATCTGCTTCCTTATAGCCACACTGGCACTGAGAGAAAAGAAATTGTGTGCAGGACTTTTTGTTTTAATATATTGACAGGACTAAGCCATTTACACTGTTGCCCAATCTATTTCTGGCTCTGAGTCTTAAAGGTCAAGCTATTGCATCTCCTACTGAACAGCAAGTCTCACTCCACTAGAGCTCAAGTGATCTCTTCAGACATGTGCTAGTGTCCCAGATCTTCGAGGTGGAGTTACCCGCTGACCTTTGTCAAACTCTGTGTCTTGGACTTAGCTGCTAGGTCAGGTGCCAAGTTCAGGAGAGCAGTACTTCTGCTGGATTAGTCAAACGGTGAAACACCTCATTCCCAATGTTCGAGGGGATACCACCTGCCAGTCAGCTGCAGTGGGATCTACACTGACACATACTCAAAGAACCAGTTAGCATAGGGTGATCATTCTTTAAGATGTTGTCAGTGGGGATCTGTGACAGGGTGCTGGGCAAAGGGTTGCTGATTTAGCCCTCTGTCATGCCAGCTCCCATTTAGGGGAGTAAATTAGAGCTGGCTGGAGATAACCTGGCCCTAATTGGAGAAACAGAAACAGCTGCCACCTAATTATCCTGGGGTTGTATAAAAGCCTCAGGGGAAGGAAGCCAGGGGAAGAGCAGAAAGAAGGGGAAAAGGCAGGGAGTGGAAGCAGGGAGATAGCTCTTCCCTCCCTCCTCCTGTCTCCAAATGGTGAAGGGCCAACTGTACATGGTGAAACAGTGGTGGGAACAAGCATGTAAAGAAACTGCACCTGTGGTTACTAACCCCAGGGTCTCAGAGTGACTTTGTGGACCTAGCAGAGGCAGGAGCCAAGGGGGACCCTGCCATGCTCTGCTACAGGATCCCACAACACCCCCCACCCAATCCCTGTTGTTTGGAGTTCTCAGCTACCACGGGCTTTGAATTGCAAGGGAACTGAGGGAGGACATGGTTACTCCACCTTTTCTGTCCAAACACGAGGAAGCATGGGTGCATGCACAGCCCCAACAGACATGGGTATTCAAACAAAGAAATCCGAACTTGTGCACGTACATCACCAGTGAGAGTCACACTGACAACATCTTGAAGAACCACAGTTACTATAGTGCAAGTAACCATTCTATTTTTACTTAGAAGTACTGTATCTGAGAATGTTATTGAGTAATTTAATAGTTCCAAGTAGTTTCATAGTTTTATATTCAAGAGTTACATGATTAGGGAACATCTTGCTGGGTATTTATAATTCCTTTTTTTATTATTATTATAAATGCCCTTTCCTTTCATGAGCAGGAAAAAAAATTGCTTGTTGTATATATAACTGGAGATGGTTCACTCTAAAGTCTTCTGAGGCACACTTCATTGGAATGGGGCAGAATAAAGGCCATGATTTTTCTTCACTGTGCATATGCAATTGTGCACCAATTTGTACATGTATTTTTTGTTTGTAAAGTGGGTTACTGAACATGCAAATAATCAGTTACCTGTCTGACCGTTTGTATGTATAGTTCAGAAAGTCTGGTCCCAAGTGTCAATTTGAACAGTGTGATATGGCTTCAACATTGTGGTTTTGGCATTTTTGGAAGACCTTTACAGATCCAGAATATTGTAAGCAGATTTTAAATTTAACTATTTTAAATGTGGCTAGTTATCAGCTAAGTAATATCTATCAGGTTTAGTGTAGTTAACTTTTTGTAATCAGAGAAGTTTTCTGACACTGAATTCTGATACAGCGAAGCAGAATAAAGGATCCAGGTTTCAGTTTTTCAGTGTACAATGTGAACTTCTATTTATAAGGGTTAAAGTGAAGAGACTGCTATAAATTTGTTCCAAACTCTTTACAAACATAGCAGAAGGTGGTTAATATTTTCAGACAGATACAATTTTACTAGAGTACTTTTTTTTTTTTTTTAGCACCTTCTTCTGTTAGATTTGCCATGGAATAAAACACAAATATTGCATCTCAACAGTCAAAGTAGTTTGGATGTTGGCTAACGTTTTATAACTAGGAGTATGATTCAGCATTGGTACAACATACACACTTGTGCCTCGTTACTTTAGATGTCTCTTTATTTTCTTTTCTGTGATCTCATACCCGTGTTTATTGAATTTACAGGTGGCAGTATGCTGTATCTGTTTCTTTGTTATTCTTCCATTGAACCTTGTTGGTACAATTCTTGGCCGAAATCTGTCGGGCCAGCCCAACTTTCCTTGTCGTGTCAATGCTGTGCCTCGTCCGATACCGGAGAAAAAATGGTAAAGAGAAGTGCTTATACATTGTGTATTCACTCAAACATAAATGTGTTTAGAATTTTGAATGATCCCAATACCTCAAAAATAATTTTAGAGTAGCTTTTAAATTTATATTTAGTTCAAGGCGTGTGCAGGAAAAAGCTTCTCAGGAAGCTGATTTAAGTTTCTGCATTAAAGCATCTCTTTAAAGGGATTGGATGGATAAAGGTAAAAACTTTCAACTTGAGGTCACTAGTTTGTGGTACCATTCCCATTCCAGGTAGATAGGTTTCCCCAGAAATCAAAGTCCCCACCTCAGTTAGCACCTTTGACAGATTTAAGATCGAGCGGGCCCTGGAGACTGAACTAGCTTCACCCTTGGAGGTGGGTTTCTCCCAGTTAGGGCCGAGACACATTTGGAGGATGTTGTTGGGGGCAGCTTGCATTGCCACTACCTGTTTTTTGGGTAAGAGGAGTCTCTAGGCCATCAAGTTGATACTGTTCATGAACATTACTTTTTATGTTAATATAAAGGCATCTTTATTTCCAAAAAATAGACTTTTTTAGCTTGTAGCATGCATACCATGAATACAATCTCCTTGCCCTGTTAGTGTGTATCTAGTGAGGAGGAGAGAAGCTGTGGAAATAAAACTATCCTCAAAGGATGGATTTTATTGATTTTATTCCTCTCAGAAGAGTGGAGTAGTAAAAATGAAGGGGATGGTGGAATGTGTTACACCCACAATCTTCAGGAAATGCAGTGTCTTGAGTTAATGGTGTGTTGCTCAGTTGAGAAGGTGAGATTTGATTTATACTGCAGCCCAATCTTGGAGAGCTGATGGATTTTTCTGGATCAGGATGAGAAAAAGAAATAAGATACTTTTAATGAAGGTAAAATTGTGGGACCATCGACTTAGACAAGTCTCCCTATAAATAATGAAGGACGCAGCAAATTAAATCACTAAATTACCTCTCTAGTTAAATTCAGTATCAGTATGGGTAATATGAAGGGGTCACCTCTGGTTAAGTGACAGTAATATCTACAGATACTGAGTATTAATTTTATTCATAAGCTCGTGGCATAGAGTCATTATCGCAGTACAAAATTCCAAAAATTCTGAGCTAGATAACCATTTCTCTGTAAAATATTTTCCTCATAAGTATTGGTTACACAGATGCATGATCACTGTCTCTTGCAAGACTTTTGTGGAAGTTTGGGTTTAAACACATGAATTACATTGTTAAATATAGGTGTAGTAAATATATATTTCAATAAGGGTCTGTCAAATGATGAGTTTAGGCTATTAATGAGGAAAGTATTAGGATTAATCGCAGTTAACTCACGCAATTAACTCAAAAATTAATCGCGATTAAATATTATATCTATCTATCTATCTATCTATCTATCTATCTATGTCTGTAGATAAAAATAGGTTAAATAAATCCCTGTAATGCTTAGGTATGCTTAATCCTACTTCAGCATGGGGAAATGGACTAGAAGACCTCTCAGGGTCCCTTCCAGTCCAACATTTCTCAATTTCGATGATATACATACGGCACTCGTTACCCCAGTCTTGAAAACGAAGCACATTTTTGTGTGTAATAGTAATACTTGTGTATAGACATTGAGATGGTGCTACACAATGAATGAAGCCTTACAATGCCCCTGTGAAGAAGGTATTCTCATATTAGGGATGGAGAAAGGCACACAATCTGTGATTTGCCTATGGCTACCAGACTTATCTGTGGCAGAGATGGAAATAAAATTAGATTGTCTGTCTGATTCTTATTCTTGTGCCTTAACCACAATACCATCTTGTATTATTAAAAGTGTCCCTATAACTGACTTGCTCAAATATATAGATAACTTACACTGATAGCACTTAGAGCGACAAGGTGGATGAGGTAATACCTTTTATTGGACCAACTTCTGTTGGAAAGAGACCAGCTTTAGAGCCACACAGAACTCCTCTTCAAGTCTGTGAAAGGTACTCTGGCCTTGTCTACACTGCCACTTAACAGGACTGAAACTTTCTTTCTCAGTGCTTTAACACTGGTAGTGGAGATGCCCTCTGAGGGAGCCTTACAGCTAAATGCAAGGTGGAACAGACTGTTTAGCATAAGTAGTTAGCATATATTGTAAGGGATCATTCAAGGTAGAGTGGCCTGTTAACACCTGCTGTTATAGGACAAAAAGAGGTGTTAATGGGCACTCTACTTTGAATGGTCCCTTAGAACAGCATTTCTCAAATGTGGAGTGGATTTTTCTGCACTAGGACAGTCTCATGGGGGAGAGGGGCAAAGCAGCGGCCCTTCCCTGCAGTGCACAGCTATTGCTCCTGACTGTCTTGGTATTTGCTGGCACCGCCAGCAGGGGATCAGTGCCCTGCACCACGCAGCCTCCTATGGGCTCCCGGGCAGTGCCTCTGCAGATATGTGGAGCCAGTGTGTGAACTCAGCAGGCTTCAGGTTTCATCCCCTGGACCCTGGCTCTGGACTTCAGGCCAGGTGGCGGGGCTCAAGCTTGGGAAAAATGTCAGCGCAGCCACCAGCAAGGGCTGGTAGCTGTACTCTGAGGCCACCAAAAAAATTGTTCTGAGATCCCCTGCCTTAGAATATGTGCTATTTATGCTGAACAATCTTTTTCACCTTGCATTTAGCTGTGATGCTCTCTTCGAGTACTTTTCCCAGACCTGAAAGGTTTGTCTCACCAACAGAAGTTGATCCAATAAAAGATATTACCTCACCCACCTTGTCTCTCTAAAGTCCTAGGACCTACACATCTACAACTACACTGCATACAATTATGGTAGATAGCACTTTCCATTTCAGAATTATTTTTACATACATTACATCACAGGGATTTTGTGGGGCTTTGTTACATAGGTAAGTATTATGGGTAAGTTTTTTAAAAACAGGAGGCTGTAGTCAGGCTCCTAAATAAGAGGTCATATGCTCAAAAGCAGTGAGGTCCCATTGACTTCATTTGGAGCTGCTGGGGTGCTTTGTCCTCTTAGGGCCTGACCCAAAGCCCAGCTTAAGTGAATAGCGTTCAGCACGTAGACTTCCCATCAGGCATGGAGACTGACATGAGTCTCTCACATGTTTTAAAAATCTAAGATTATTTTCTTTTTAAATACGGTGGGTCTAGAGAGACTGATGCCGAGAATTTATCCGAATGGATGCCTTTAATATGACTTTTTTGGGTTTTATTAAGTGTTCCACTATTTGTCATGGATATCTTTATTAATGAAATATAAAACTGTAAATTGATCTAATATCAACATTGATTGCTATTTCTGTTATTTTGCAGGTTCATGGAACCAGCTGTTATTGTTTGCCTAGGTGGAATCCTCCCTTTTGGATCAATTTTCATTGAAATGTGAGGGGTTTTTTTGCATGAAATTGTTAGCTATTGCTAGTAAATATATTATGCCCGATCAGTTGAAACTGCTAAAAAGGTGTAATTACAATATAATAAAGTTGCCTATTTCATTCAATTCTACTTAGGTATTTTATTTTCACTTCATTCTGGGCTTACAAGATCTACTATGTTTATGGCTTCATGATGTTGGTGCTGGTTATCCTCTGCATTGTGACAGTCTGTGTGACCATTGTATGTACGTACTTCCTGCTAAATGCAGAGGATTATAGGTGGTAAGTACCATTTTTGTTCATAAATATCCTAATAGTGTACTATCTCAGAATCAGAATACAGATTTGCAAGAGACTTTCCCTATTGAAATAAAGTTTCTCTAAACACAAGTGGATTTTTTAAAAATCACCCTGTATCAAGCAATGGTTGACATTAGAGTATGAATTGTTTGCAGTGTTGTTGTAGCCATGTTGGTCCCAGGATAACAGAGAAAAGGTGGGTGAGGTAAGTTCATTTGTAGTAAGAGCATGTTGATTACACCCTCAAACTGTGTAGTGTAAAAAATATACATAAAACAGAAGCTAATGAGTATTTGATATTACTGACAAATATTTTCCTGGAAGCATGCTTTTCACATGAAGCACAACATGTTTAGACAAGTAGATTTTTTTTTTCTGCTTCAGATTTCTCCTGTACCATATGTTTTGTTGGGGAAACTTATTTTGTTTGGTCCATATCTGGTGGTGTGACAGACTTGTATGTGTTTTTCAGGCAATGGACGAGCTTTCTTTCTGCTGCATCAACTGCAATCTATGTTTACATGTATTCCTTTTACTACTACTTTTTCAAAACAAAGTAAGTGGTGGCTGTATCTTGTACTTCATAGGTCAGCATTTAGTAAATCAAACATTTGACCTAAAGAATTAAAAATAAGCTTACTTTAGAGTAACTGGTATATTGAGAAACTACAAAAAAAATGACCTAAGGACATAAGGGCAGCCATACTGCATCAGACCAAAGGTCTATCTAGCCCAGTTTCCTATCTTCCAACAGTGGCCAATGCCGAATGAACAGAACAGATAATCATCAAGTGATCCATTCTGTCGCCCATTCCCAGCTTCTGGCAAACAGAGGCTAGGCACACCATCCATGCCCATCCTGGCTCATAGCCATTGATGGACCTATCCTCCATGAATTTATCTAGTTCTTTTTTGAACCCTGTTATAGTCTTGGCCTTCACAACATCCTCTGGTAAAGAGTTCCATAGGTTGACTGTGCGTTGTATGAATAAATACTTCCTTTTTGTTTGTTTTAAACCTGCTGCCTATTAATTTCATTTAGTGACCCCTAGTTCTTGTATTATGAGGAGGAGTAAATAACACTTCGTTATTTACTTTCTCCATACCAGTCATGATTTTATAGACCTCTATCATATCCCCCCTTTGGGACTTTTCAGCTTGGAATAGAGATGACAATCTTATTAATCTCTCATACGGAAGCCATTCCATACCCCTAATAATTCATGTTGCCCTTTTCTGAACCTATACCTGTGGTATAAATTACTATCTCTTTTTTTTTTTTTTTTTTTCTTTTTCTTTTTTCAGAATGTATGGCTTGTTTCAAACATCATTTTACTTTGGTTATATGGCGGTATTTAGCACAGCCTTGGGGATAATGTGTGGTAAGTTCAGAATATACTCAAATCTGCTATGTGTATATCATAAATTCACAGCTGTCTCTATTTTCAAAATGCCTTCTGTATGTATCATTAAAGAAAACATACTATCCTTGAAAATAACCTTCCAATTTCTGGCTTATATGCTTGGTTTTTCATTTTATACCAGCCTAGTAGAACCAGGTTTGTGTGAACTGTTTTTTTCAAAAGTGAAGATATATCTCCTATGTGCTATGCAGAAAACAAAAGACATCACTCTGCAGGGCTGAAAGAATAAAATAATAATATAATCAGAGGTTGAATTTCCAACACACCTGAGCTTTGCACAATGAATTCAATATTAACTAGAGTCCTTTATCTTTTCAGTGTGAGATTATTTCTTTAGCACCTGGAGGGAGAGCTAGATTTCCAGGCATCCATTTAAACTGTGCCCTGAAACGCTCAACTCTTTTTATTTTTGAAATTTGAAAATGGAAGCCCTTAGTTCAGGAGTGGTCAATTGAACAAATACTTCTCATTCTATTCACTGCTGACATACTCTCCCAGTACTAGGCTGAGGACATGGGCAACAAGGATTTTCGGCGCAGACACTGAGTAAGGAAGATTCTGCCTTGAATTGCCACCCAGCAGTGAAATGCATGAGCCTTATGCTGTAATGCAAAGGTTATAAAAGGGATATGGCTCCTGACCACCTCCTTCCCCCCCCCCCCCCCCCCCACTTGACTGCTTCAAGTGCTTGTAGCAGTCTGGCTCACACGGGACCTAAACTCTTCTGTAGTTTTGGGGGTTTTAGGGTAGTTAGGTAAGTCATTAATCTATACTATTCCAAAGTGTAAAAAACTTTAATCACAAGGCTGTAGCATGCAACAGATCAGGATTAAATCACTGTGATGCAGCAAGGAGACAGTGCTAGTAGCTGGTCACTACTATTTGCCATGAGGAAGTACATTACCCAGGTTATCTGTTTGGCCTAGGCCATCATTTCCAGCCATGGCTCTTGCAGACAGAAAGGAGGACTAGAGCTAACCATGATAGAGGAGTCTTCACCCTTCCCAGGAATTGTAGTCCAAGACCCAAACAGTTCTGGGGCAATAGGTACAATAGGGCACTTCACTTGACAGGAGGTAAACTGAATGGTGCTTAACTGACTTTCTGGTAAGAGAGAGCCGCACAGCAACAGCCCCAAATCCATTGGTGCCAGTAAGCCTTTGATATGTTCTCTGGGGTTAAGAAACTTATGTCAGTTCCTCCGCACCAGAGGTTCACTCTTTCTGAAGCCGTAAGCTGTGATCTCAGCACTGGATAAACTAAAGTTCCATCTAAGGCTTTAAAACAAAAAAACAAAAACCATTCTTCACACCCAAAAATCATGTCGGTAGAAGGAAAGGTGCATTAGGGTCCATGGTCCATCATTTGTCAGTGTCTCTGACACAGAGATATTTTCTAGAAAATCCCTCAGCAGTACCATCTAAAGAAGCAGCTGTGAGCCTTGGCTCTGGTGCTGACATTGCCCCTGTGCTGAGTCCATTCTCTCCACCACCCCAGGACAGGACTGTGGTCCAAATGGGGCTGCTCGTCTTGCATCAAGAGGGATGGTTTCCTCCACTCTCATCTTTTTAGCAGGCTCAAGTATCCAGTGAAGGACTCATGGATGGTCTCAGCACCATCTGGGATGGCGCAGAGTGCTCATTCTAGTAACCAGGGGTCTCTTGGGAGTGGAGAGAATGCAGAAGAGACCTGTGTTTTTCTGGAAAGGAGCGAGGAAGCAAATGATACAAATATTTACAAATGAGCAAAGAACACAGTGCTCTTTCATGCATTTGGTTTCATTGCCTGTTAGATGCTGTTTGAGCAGACCTTTGGATAAGAGTGTAGTAAATTGTATGGAAGTTCACTTGGTGAATTTAGTATATTCACCTGTTGGCTTTTTTGGTTCTTTCCCTCATATGTTTTTGAAAGTGCAAATTGGTTCTTTCCCATTTTTGCACAATATGACTGGCTTTATTCATGCAAGCCTAGAGTCTTATTTTACAACTCCCTACACGTGCAAATATTCCTTTGCTCCTAGTGGAGTACTTGCATACGGGTTACCGATGTCCATAAGGATTTGTGGGCTCAAGGCACTAATAGATTCAATATCCACCACTTATGTTTCATGCATATTTTTTCTTCTCTTTAGAAGAGCCAAGAAGGTAATTTCATGACATTTACAAGGAAAAAGAAATGTGGGCTACTCTAAATTAAGTGCTTTTCTGACTGAAATCTCATCTTTCCTCTTGAAGTCTTTGGCATATTACAAGGTTCCCCCACTGTTCTGGCAGTCTCTCAGCTATTTTTTTCTTTAGTAGGCTTTTATATACCTTTCAGCTCTAATCTTTTTTTTTTTATTTTATTTTTTTTTAAGTGTTCAGCCTGGTACTGATTAAAATGTCTAATGTCAGGAACCGAGTGTGTCCATCAGTTTTTATAATTAAAATGTTTTAAAAGAAAATGGAAAGGGAAAATCTTTGTATGCTTTCTTGTTACCGTGAAAAAGTATTTGAAACAGTATTAAGGAGATATCTAGATTTTTACTACCCAAATATTTCTTCAAAACCAGACAACAATCCATTTTGTGCTTTAAATTCATATCCAGCACGGCTAACAAAGTGTGTTAGAAAAATGTGCACCGTGCATGCTTTTTACTGCTGATCTATTATGAAACAATGCATGGAGGGAACGATGCTCATGCACATGGCTATCTGCAGGATCATGCAATTGGCTGCTGTTGGAATCGATTAACATGAACTTGCCTGCTTTGGAGTCCCTGCACATTTAGGTCACCTATCCCGATCATAAATCTCCCGACCATATTTAGCTAACTCAAATTTCACACACTGTGAGGTACTTTGATCACTGGAGAACACTGCTTCCTACAGAGCATGAGTGCTTTGAAAATGGCAGTGGGGAGCTCCCTAGAACTTCCAGACCTTCGATCTTAATGCAGGAGACAGATAAAACTTTAAAAATCCCCATCTCTTTAAATAGCATAGGGAGGAGCTCATCTGATCTGGGTAGCCATTCTTCATGCCCTCATGGCTTACTAACTTCATATTGTCCATGCTTAATTCAGTTGCATATATGGTGCACTTGACAATGGCACATTCGGATAAATATTTAAATTGTTTACTCCCTTACTTGGAGTTTCTTAACTCCTGTGTATACAAAATCACAACTCTGATTTGCATTAGTTGTTTTGTGGTATTAGGAACACAAAATCATAGAAGATTAGGGTTGGAAGAGACCTCAGGAGGCCATCTAGTCCAACCCCCTTCTCAAAGCAACAGTAGGAAACTGTTTCTTTTATGATTCACGTGTTCCTGACTGTTTGGATCCTTTGAGTTTTGCTTTACATGCTTATGAAAGTTTATGGTTCTGATGAGATGGACTGTTTACAATTACTCCATTAAACAAGTATTTTCTCACAGATATCCTGTTAGCCAAGTCTCTTGAAAACCCCCCTAGCCAAAATATCATTAGCTTGCTTGGTGCTGATGGCCTGATCTAACTCAGCTGCATCTGGCATATCTTTTGGTTTCACAATCACAGCTTGCTACTTGAGGCTAATGGGAGGACTCGCTCAGTAGCCTGGAAGATCCAAAGGACTCCTCAGTCCTCATGAGTTTATAGGAAGTCTGAAAAGGGCCCGAAGATTTTTCTGCACTTTGAAACATCCCACCCTGCCAGTAGCTTGGTTGTGCCTGTTCATTCATTCCTTAACTGGCTGTTGAAGGATATGTATCAGGAATTTCAAAAGGGCTGAGCACAATTACTTTGCACCAAAGAATATTACAACTTACTTCCTCCCACTTTCCACTCTCCCCCCTCCCCCCACCTCCCTGAAAGCTTATTGGTAGAGATGGCTGTGCATGTGAGTAAGAGCTCTGGTTCAGCTCTTCTGGATCATAATTCTAAGCACGAAGATGCTCTTTGGATCTCTCTGCCACTGCCACCGTGATGCTGGAGTCACCCTAGTTCATACTGAAATACCTAAATTCTTAGCTTGTGCCCATGAGCTAAAAGGGGTATATAAATGTCACATCTCAGACCAAAGCCTGTCTTCTCCTTTGGAGAGTCTTACGATATGTCTGCCTTTGAGCTGGGAGGTGTGATTCCCAGGTTGTGTAGACATGCCATGCTAATTGTGCTTGAGCTGGCACTCAGACTACAGCAGTGATGGACACCTTTCTTCCCTATTCCTTGGAGAAAGGCTTCCATATGTACCTTTTATCCTCCCCCATCCAAAAGTTCTGACATAGCTCAGGAGAGACAAAAACTCAATCATCTTAAAAGCCCCATTTTGGTCAAGATGCATCTTATTCTTGATCCCTTTCAAAGTTGGCAGTATTTCAGGTTTAGTTTCCTTTATGTGGTACTCTTAATTAAGCTTAATCAACCAACATGACACTATTTTTTGGTTTACCTTAGTTTTATCCTGTGACCCATCATTGTAGTATCTGAGCACCTTCCACGTGAAGTGTCTAATGGAATTCATGGAGTCTCTGGTACTTCTCCCTTTTTGGGGTAGAAATTCTGCTTGGGTAGGGTTTTTGTTTTGATTTGATTTCTCCCTTTTTTGGTTTGGCTGGTAGAAGTGGGTGTCAGTGAGTGCAATTCTTATGGTAGAAAGGCTTTTTCAAAGTGGAAAGTTTTTGCAGCATTTCTCTAAAGATGTTCAGGCTCTGGAATCACCTGTTCTTCTCTGGAAGTTTTGTTCATATCTGGATTCCCTTGTCGAGTGCTTTGGACCCCTTTATCTCACATGCTTCATCCGGCTTTAATCTGTGTTGTTGCAGAGGAGCACCAGTGTGAGTTTTCCATGCATAATCTATTCTGGAAAGAACATCTTAATAAACTTGGGCTTTTATCTGCGGTTGTTACAGCCCTTAGTTTGTCCACCCAGCTTTTGGTTTCACTTCACACCATAGAGTGGGTCAGACTGACTGAGTAACTGCAGTTCTCTTGATTCTTACCGGGTTTGCACCTTTGGTGTCATGTTAGCTTATCCTCGCAGGTTGGCATCAGCAGTAACATTGTTTGTTCCTGTTTGGGAGGTATGCACTACAGTCATGTAGCATTCTCTACGCTACTGCTTACTCAGCCTTGCGTATCCATCTTAGATTCTAGGTTTGGCCTATTGGAGTTGCAGAACCTGCTTCTGGAATGAGTTCTTGTTCTCTTGCCACCTGAGTGTCTAGTTTTGTTAGGCCCTTTACTACTGCGATGTATTGTTCAATCCGAAACTGTTTCCACCCTCAAACACCTAATGTCCTATTCCTTTATTACTGCTGTGGTCCAAGCATACTCGCCTCATGACTCTTACTAATTTGAAAACTGCAGGTTGCAATTTCCTTTTAACAACTTATTGCTATTCATTTCTACCTCATGGTGAGAAAAAGAACATTCACTTTCAGAAAGTATGTAACTTATAATAAAACCCACCTTCCCCAGAGATTTGGGAATGTTTTGCTTTCTACCGTTTGCTTGGAGAAAAGGACCTGGTTATTAGAAGCAGTAGGGGGGGCACTGCTATATTATCAGGGTAAAGGAGCATAGTCTTCTGGGGAGATGGTTTAACGGATTTAGATCTTTAGAGCTATGGGAGTTCTTGCCATTATTCACTGGGAGCAGGGATAATTGTATACAGTTTGAGAGCAAGTATTCTCAGGTAAGTAATTGTCTTTTTTCAGAATGAATGGTTTAAATGACTCTAAGAACAGTGTTTTTGTTTTATGTTAATAGTTATTAGGTGATCTCCTCTAAAATCTACATTTTATTTTTTGTTTTGCAGGAGCTATTGGTTACATGGGAACAAGTGCCTTTGTTCGTAAAATCTACACTAATGTGAAAATTGACTAAGGAAATAAGAAAACTGAACTATGGATCAGTTACTGTTTTCAATGGGGGATGAACTTGCACAACAAAAAGCGCAAGAAGAGAGTTGGGTTTTAACACTGGGCCTCGCATGGGTCTCCATTTTGTGGATGGCTTAAAGTAACATCTATTTTCATTGATCCTAGATTCTTACTGACTGCTTTCTCCAACTGTTCACAGCAAATGCTTGGATTATATGCAGTAGGCATTACTACAGTACATGGCTAATCTTCCCAAAAAAACCTAGCTCATTAAAGATGAATAGGCTAGCTCTCTTCAGTGAAGAGGACAAACAGTTTATTTCAAGAATTTGTTCCATTCAGTAAAAAGAGGGAAACTTGGCTGCTAAAACTGCTTGATTAGTAGTCTTCCTGGTACTTAACATTTCTAAATTATCTAAAAATGCTGTTCCAGAAAGATTACTTTTCTGGTTTTCACTGCCATTGTCAGGATAGAAGTATGTTTTGCATTTTGACTCTGGGTGCTTCTTTTGGTTCATTTGCAGTATCAACTATCCCTACACCCATTTGTCTAAAAAATAATTTTAAAACTATATTAAACTCACCTGCATGTAATATATCAGCGATCATTCTAGTTGGACCAACTTCCCATTTATTTATCTTTAAAGTAATATCCAGCTAAATCTTAAAACCATCCAAAGAAGATACAGTCTGAAAACAGTGCAATTTACTGTACAGTTAGAAAGCAAAATGTTAAATGAAGAGGATGCTGTTTGTTTTTATTAAAAGTTTTGAGGTCTAGATTAAAACAAAACCAACGTTTTAACTGAATGTCTAAAGTGATTCTCCTTTTTTTTCAAAGTTAGTCTTTTTTTTGGTTTGGGTTTGAATGAAGGCTTTCCTTAAGACATTATAAAGTGGTAATAAGTGTATATAACATTAAATAATGTAACTTAGGTGTAGATCCCAAATGTATTTGGATGTACAGATTTACTACAGAGTACTTTTTTCTGATGATTCGGTGTACAAATGTGTGAATTTGGGTGGCTTTTTACATCTTGCCTGCCATTGCATGAAACGTTGGGGTTTCCTCACAATGTGTGTATGTCCTACTTTCTGGTCTGTTTCCTTTCTGAAGCTCTTACAGGAGTTAAATTTGTAATTTAGAACATTTTAATTTTTGTTTAATCCTATCTGGACACTTGTGTAACATCTAAAGCACAGTTGCTTTAGAGTGTTCAGAAAACTAAAATAAACTTTTCAGACAAAAATGTTCTGATTGTGAAAATAGATGAATTTGCAGTTGAAAATGTCTGTCTGTTTAAAAAGGCAAGGCTATTGAATGCCACTTTCTGTATCCAGTATTACTGTGCTTTTCAAATATCGAAAACCCACGCTTCAAAGTCTTAGAAAGTTTGCCTACATCCGGGCTATACAGTACAGTTCCAAAGATGGCCAGCTGAGAAAGATCCTTCTTGACTGAAATGTTTATGGGAAAATCTGTTGATCCAATTAGTATACTGGGGAGAAGAAATGAGAGGAGCACCAATATAAACGGGCAAATAAAGGTTAAGATTTTCTAAGACAAATGAGTGTTAATTGTGTAGTATACTTGGCTAGAAGGATTCTTCATTTGTTTCCATGAGAGATTTAAAAGCCAGTCAGCTTGGGATTTTGGCACATGCCGTATAGGGATGGCTTTCATAAGACAGTCTGTTTGGAACATAACATCTGCCCCAGAAAATGCAACTTGTTGAATTAAAAAGAAAAAGGACAGTGACCCCATGCAGTGGTGTTTGTATTAATTATCCCTAAATTGTGCATTTATAAAACATACCATTATTGAGCTGAGGGACGAAATACCATTCCACCCTTGAAGAGGGGAGAACAGAACTCATAGGAAGTATTTATTACAAGGTAGGTTTCTAGAAAATTGTGCATCCTGTGTATATTTTATGTAAAGTATGTGAGCTTTAAATGACTGGAACAAGATAATTCCACTGAGTAGGGAGAATGCAACCAAATCCAGAGATGCGAAAGAGGTTATATTCTCTGTTGAAATGTTACCCGTATAGATCCATAAAAATCTCTATACACACACACACACTGATTTTCTTGGCCAGTGTTAACTGATCTTTGCAGGAACAGAGAAGTGGCATTTAAAGTAAGTGTATAGTTGGTTGCAGCTATATTTTGCTGTTTGACATAAGATAGTTCTAGTTTAAAAGCACATAGACTGACTGAAGGGAGCATAAACTTGGTCAGCAATTATTTTGCCTTAATAAAATGACTGTTTCACAAAATGTAGACTTTAAACAAAAATGTTTTTTGTACTTGTTCCCTCTAGTGACTTTCCTAGCCCTCTTCTGTTGAATGTTCTTCTAAATGTAAAGTGAAAATCAATTATCAAACACAATAAATACATTAAGTGCCCCTCTGAGGTACAAGATTTGGAAAGGGATTGTTAATAATGGGTCTGTATCGCTGTATTTAGGGTACTGGGATATGATTAGTCTATCAGAAATGTCATAAATCATTTTTGAATTTCATTTAATTGGTTGTCTTGTAGTTGGATATATATTTTTTAATGCTACAGAATTGCATGCTGCATATTTCCTTTCTCCATCCTCTGGCATTATTAGCTTCAGAAAATCCAGACAGCACACTGTACTTTTTAAAGTGACATTGAAAAGATACAAGCCATGATTTCATTTCTGAAGGTATGTTCCTCTGGAGAAATGCTCTACGTTTTAAATAATTGACATTTTTACACTTCTATCCTAGTGCAGGAATAGGTGTTTTCTGCTTTTGAAGGATTGTGAAGTGTGACTGCTTTATTTTGAACTGCTTGTCCTTGTCATGGTTGCTGTTTGAGCAGAGCTTAGTTATTAGCTCAAAGTACTGTGGATACCACTTGAACCATCTCAGGTAATAGGATGCGGAAGCTCTTGGCTTAGGCAACATAGCCCTTCCTCTGTTGTGGATGAAATAAAGATCTTACGCCTAATACTTCTACCATGGCCTCTTGTCAGTTCTTGAATTGGCTTTAAAGCCATCTGTTAGGAACTCTTCAGTTTGGCTCTTCCTATTTTGGTACAGATTACTTTTGTTGAATTTACTAAATGGTGATGCATAGCAATAGCCCATCTCAGCCAAATGTGTTGGATAAATTCAACTGTGAATGTTTTGCATTTAGAAAGGAATGTGAATAGAATGCAGCTGTAGTACTTAGTACAGGAAAAAGGAGAATGCTACGTTAGAGATTTAAGTTGTTTATTTTGTAGTCATTTTTATTGGACTTTTGACATCTGGTTGCATAGGAGTAGCAGTGTAACTTAAAATGCAGTTATAGTTGCAAAAGTGACTAGATAAAATTGATCATGCCTGACTTAAAGCTCGCTGTCTCTGTTCAGAGGGATCTACTCATTTAGTGGCAAATTTAGATTTTACTATTGTCAGCACTGCAGAGGCAACAGTAATGAATTGGAATTTATTCTGGTTCTCTCAACAGTAAGTTCCAGTCGCACGACCCATTCAGTTACATGTATGCAGTCCTACTGAAGGACGTGGAACTAAGGACAGAATTTGGTCTTCTGAAACTTAGTGGTAATGATGTATAAACTAAAAAGAACCCAGCCTGACTTTTAGATCTTAGGACTACAGCTGGAGGCAACTCTTGTAAATTGAGTGTGTTTGAGCTAGACTCAAGTCTACACGCTGAAATTTCTTAAATTCTTATAAGCGTTGTCTCTGGTCCAGTGCTAGCACAGGTGGGACCTGTATAATAGTCAAGGATCTGATAGCTGGACCCCTTTTTATCATTGTTTTTGCTAAACCTGCTGCAGCGGGGCTCCCCCCATTACTATAATCACTTCAGCTGAATCGGAAAGGGCTCCCAAGTGAATCAGATTTCCCAATTTTTCCCAAACGTGGACAAGACTTGAGGCACAAATGTAATGCCGTTTGTCATTCTGTTAGACTAGAACTGGACTTGAGAATGCAAAACTCTGTGCTGATGCATTTCCATCCTTCAGGAGCAGCTCTTCAGTTCTTTCATCTTTCCCAACGTGGGAGTTCCAAAGTGTCTTTTTGGAATAGAAATGATTTCCTTCCAGAGAAAAACGCATGCAGTTAGAAAGCTAGGTAACTTTTTTCTCTGGGAGATGCATTTAAATCCTAGAATTAATGCTAACGTTTCGTTGTCATACGTTTGGGAGTTACCTAGGGCATGGGTTTTCAACCTGGGGGTGATAACCTGCTTTTTTTTCATGGCTAGGTAGAAATGATCCTGAAACTTTTCTGTTGCAACCTTGGGGTCATGGTATAGCAAAAGAAAACCAAATGGTCTAGACCAGTGGCTTTCAACCTGTGGTCCACGGACCCCTGGGAGTCCGCAGGCCATGTCTAAGATTTCCAGAGCGGTTTGCACCTCCATTCGAAATTTTTTAGGGGTCTGCAAATGAAAAAAGGTCGAAAACCACTGGTCTATACAATTGCAACTTTTGCAGTATCTTATAAAGTGACATTAGCGAGTTCTAATGCATGGAGAAAATCTAAATAATTTAGGGGGAGGACCAAAAAAAGGGTGTGCCCATTTGTTTGTTTTGGGAGAGGCTAGTCTGAATTAGCCTATGTTTGAAGACAAACCTGCTGACGGTGAACTCATGTTTAGGCTTTCTAAAGGTCTATTTTCGAGCCTTTTCCTTTTCATTCTCATCAGTATACTGATAAGAGTATAAGAATTGCAAAAGATTCTTACAGAGGAAAGGTTGATACAAAACACAAGGGGAAAATTGTTACTCACTGGTATATTCATCTTATAAGCACTTGTTGTCTGTGGAAACAGTAGCTTGCTAACCAGCAGTACTATCAAGGTAAGGCCATGTATTGGGTACTTGCTGAAGTTCTATGCGTTGTAACTTAATTTTTTTTAAATAATTAAATTTAACCCCCCAGATACTTTCTTTATATTCTAGACAGAAGATTCATAAGAGTATACAAGAGTTCATGTGAAATATTCAAAAAGCAACTTCTATCTGAGGCTCCTTTGCATGAGTACACATAACGTGCTGTGTTTTTATAATAGCAGATTAATACACAAGTAGAATATTGCTTACATTTTCCACCTTTTGTAGTACAGGTTAGAGCGTGTTCCTGTTGTGATGAACTAGTTTGTTCATTACAACATGGTACTATCACGTAAATTGATCATTTTGTTAAAAAGGTAGACAGTGTCCAAGAACAAGCTGAAGTGCTTTGCTGAATAGGGATGGTTTGCTGAATTGGACCCCAAAAGTAGAAGGGTGAACAAACTTGGAAAATTTTAAATATTTTTACAAAAATTCTTTTTACTAAAAAATGATTAAATGGAAGTTTGATCTGCACTGCAGGAATCTGTCACATTGAGGCCAATAAACTTAAAAAAAAATCCTTGTAATGGAGACGTTAGAAAGACCCCTTGTAGCCTTTTTAACTTCTTTCTGTGTAAGTGAGGAAACTTCACAGGTGAGGAAGTTATTCAAGGCGTACAAGTGAAAAGTTTTATAAATGGAGGCAATATACTTTATGCCACAAGCCAGTTTAGCCAACAGTTGATAAATGTTAGGATACTGAAGACTTACATCCTTTGAATTGGAGAATTTCTCAAATCTTATTTGTATTTCAGCCCATAAACCTAACAAACAAATTTGCTCTGATCAAGTAGGGATGCTTTTTACAGCAGTAGGTCTTGTTGCAAAAAGGCTGGCTAATGAAACAATAGATTTCCTTCTAGCAGAAGGATTTGAAGATGTACAGTGGCCAAGTTTTGGTAGAGCTTTGTAGAAGGTTGT